CATTCCCGATGGAACTTTTGGGCATTTGCCACACCGAGGTTCAAGCTCACTCCCCCCACGTGAAGAATTGAGAGCCCAGGCAGGGCTTCGTGGTTTCAATGGCCGCAACTTAGGGCCAGCGGGGGGGGGGGAGGATATTTCAAGGGAACGTAGAAGGAACCCTGTGACACCTATGACTCCATTGGCCCTTTTGTCCACCGAAATAAAGGACTCCGCAGCTGGACTTCGGACGCCCATGCCCGTTTTTTTCCTTCTTTTTTTTTCTTCTTCTTTTTTTTCTCCCCAGTTTGCATGACTTGCAGTTTGAGAAGCCTAGATGGTTTTCAAGGCTCAGCCCCTGAGTTCCTGGATACACTTGTTGGGACCATTTTAGAGATAAACAGCTCAGACTTCTATTGCCCAATCCCCTCGATCGGAAGTGAGGTACGCTTTGGCTCGGATGTTTTTTGACTACACTATCCCTGAACGTCCTATTCCTCTCGTAGTGAGGCCTCGGCCTTGTTCCAGCGGAGAGGGCTACTTTTGGAGGCCCTGGTGTAAAGCAAGGCCTGAGGCCTTACTAAGTGAAGCTTTCAGCCTTAAACAGTATGTTCCCAAAGGAGGCCTAGGCCTCGAAAAGTATGTGTGGCAATCTTGAGTAGCTTTGGGACCACATGTTTCTTGAAGGGTGTCAGTGTGTTGCTAGTGGGGCTATAGCCAGGCGAGAAGTCGTAAAGGCAGAATACGTACGTAAATGAAATAACAATACACGTGCATGCTGACACTAAACACCGAAAAGATCCTCAGCAGAAGCATAGCTTGCCTTCGTTCAACCCTGGTTGATGCCAGGCAAGAACTAGTGCCAAATTAGCAACAATGATTCCTTTGCGCAAAAGAAAGCCAGTGACGAAGGACACCAGCTGGACTGTGGACAACGTATGGAAACCGCGTGGAAAGGCCTCAAAAAGACGTGGACAGGCCTCAAAAAACATGGACATGCGTGGACAGCCCGGCCAAAAAGCGACGATGGCACTGAAAAGCCACAAAGAGCCACACCAAAATCTTGTCTTGGGCGCAGCTTTGGTGCAAGAGAGCAGCATTAGTTTCACAAAAGGAAGTGCAGGTTCACAGACACGTTCTGACATATTCAAGGGAAAGTGCAGGATCGTGACGCTAAAGAAGTTTGTTCAAAGTGACTCGCCCTGAAGATGCAGTGGTACTGAGAGCAAACAACATGCCTTCTAAACCGAAAAACAAGCTTTTGGCAAGGGTGCATATAGCATGATGCTACTTTCCGAAGGTGTTGCTAAACAAAGAGGTCATTTGTAAGAAACATGGGGCCGGGGGGGGGCTGCGAAAAGCAGGGTTACTCAGCACATATACTGAGCATGATACTCAATGAGGCCCTTTGACCTTTTTAAGGCCTCTCGTCAGAGGCCGATCTTTGCAAGGCCTTTGGAATTCGAGGGCGTTTTTTGGGGTTTGTCCTGGGTTCAATGTTTGACCATGGCACGGTTCTCAGCCTGCCGGCGCCAGGGCAAGGAGCTCGTGCCGTTGGAACCCAGATGCCAGCGGCTGAGAGAAACCCACGCGGGGTTTCTAACAGACGGTTTGGGGTTTCTGAGGTCAAATTCGGGGAAATTCCCTGAAGGGTTGTATTTTGACATCACTTGCACGTGTGCTGGTCAAATGCTTGCTTGAGGTGTCATCGATGTGCCGGAGGCTGAAGAGGAAGAGGTTTCGGAAGAGGTGGCGTGCTCAGGGGGAGTTGCCATATGTGCATGTGACTTGGATGGTAGGGATGGTCAAGTGGAACTTAGGCAAGTATGGTAAGGATTCCTTTTACAGGAAGGACGAAGTGACCCTCGTATGGAGTCTTGATCATGTCACAGAATATGTTGAGTCAAAAGACTTGTTGACCATTGCCCTCTTTGCACAGGCTCCTCTCAAAAACAAAAGCACACACACACACACACACACACCCCAAGAAAAGGGATTCATGTTGAAGCGAAGTTTTGTATGGGAAGTCAGCCTTGTGATTGAGTGGAAGCCTGCCACGTGTGGCAGCAGCAGGACACTGACTCAAGGGCTTTTGTGGACGGACTGAAGATCCTCCAGGTAGCTTTGGATTTTAATGGTTCTGAACAGAAACTCTGGTGTATACCAAAAGAGAGTCCATGTGTAGAAGCATCCATGTCCACCAAATGCTCCCAGGAACCCAAATTCAAGGTGCAGCGTTTTATCGCAGGTTGCAGTCGACAGCGAGTCGACCGAGAGCTTCCCAGCGGTGCGCGGACGTCAGACTTTGGGGATAGAGAAGCAGAGTGGCCAGGAACGCACCGCTTAGGTTTGTTTTCTATTCACGGGTACCTTGTTTGTTTGGGGGGGTTGTTTCGAAGCAAAGTGAACTCACCAATTCTGGAGATTCTCCATTTCGAGACCCCAAAAAGGATTTCACATGGGTGCTTCTTCTTTCAAGGATGCGCAAGGTCAACAATCTGTGGGGTTTGAAGACAAACCCGTTTCTGGTTCCTCTTCTCTTCTCACGCTCTTCACCTGGCAGGCTCCACCGGCTTGGGACGAGGACGAGACCTGCCTAGGCCGATGGGATTTTTTTGGGTGTCACCCCAGCTCGGTTTCTGCAGCGTCTATATTTCAAGCCAACCCGGCGAATGGGCGCGCCTGCGTTCGTTTGGAGGTTGTACCCTCGGGTTCAACAAGTCAAGGCGTTCCTTTCTATGGGACACAGGTTGCACGCACACACAAAAGAAGATCCCACTCGCCAGACTGCCTCACCCATGAACCTTAGCAAGTGGCGGCTTCGGATCCATGTAGCCGATTTGGAATATCGGGGCGTCCGGTCCGAGTTTTGCCCCCTAACTTTGCAGGTTTGCAGGACTGGAAGACGAGACAGGCGGGGGAAGGATGACAGGATCCGGACAAGGTCTCCTTTCCGCTAGGGGGGGTTGGACGCCGATTCCGGTTGTTTGAGCCCTGGTTGAACTATGCACAACAACGGGGGTGCAGAAATTTATTAGTTTGCACCTGGTTTTTGTGGTTGGAAATTCGTGAGCCCCAACGCCTCTTCCACATTCGCCAAACGGGTGAACGTGAAATTAATGTCCAACTTAGAAACCGATTGGGAGCCATCAACAGCTCGCACCCAAGCGACATCGCCCATTGCTCATGTCAGCTTTGGTCAAGTTGTCCAGTAGGTCCACGCACTAGATTTTGACCATAACATCTAGAGGACACTCTGAATACTCTACAACAGCGGTATAAAACCCGAATCTTTCCAGGATTTTGAGGCAAAGGTACCCCGGCGCTGGACACATGAACTTAAGTTGGTACCCCTTTGGTGGACATCACTTACATGAGGGGAAATTATGTCCTTCAACCATCAAACAGAAACACAGAGACATATGTTGATTCCGTGTCCATGCTTTGCAGGGTCCAAAATTTCCCGCACTCTTGAGGCCGTACCCCTCTGGCAGATGAGTTGGGCGGTTCTGGAGGAGTCTTGAAGGGCATTCTTTCCAGGGATCCTTCTTTTCAGGAAACCATTAAAAACACCCAGGGGAAGCAGATCCGGTTTTTGAAAAGAACCGATGGTTGAAAAGAATGGGCAATCAGCCCCTAGAAAGATGGGTGTTTCTTGGCGTATGACGGTGGATGTGTGGCCTTGCGCGGAGGTCGCGTGCTCTTGGAGCAGAGAGGCGCAAGCCTGAGCTAGCTTTTTCTGCGACTCTTGAAAGGATAACCTTGGACAATTTTGGGACCCATCCCTTTTGATAAAGATTTAGAGTGAAGCAGAAACAGGGTGGGATGTGGGTCGAATTCTCAGCTCTTCTTCCACGTTTGGAGCTGAGATCTGATCAGCTCAGGGCCCTTTTTGCGAGGTCAAACCAAGCGCATCGGCCGGGGCCCTAGTGGGGTTCCTCTAGAGAAGAGGAACCCACTTGGTCTCTAAATGGTGCAAAGTACCGTCAACACAACGAATCCATGTGCAGGCTTCCAGGCCGAGGTTGTTTGGTTGCTTTTTGGGCTTCTCGTAGACCTCCGTTGTCTCCAACTAGGAAATACCCTCCCCAAATGTGCGGTTTCCTCTTGGTTCCCTTTGATTCGAAGCAACCTCAGATCATGTGATACCTACAGCTGAGGCTGCCTGGGACAAGGGCAAAGGCCAGTCGGCTCCGCTTTGGGTCTTGGGGTGGCCTTCGTGGTGAAGCGATTTTTTTGCCGTCAGATCCCGTGGAGCTGAGTTTTCCTGAGGGCAGCTTTGTTTCAGGTGGTGGTTTGGTTTGGGGATTGGAACCCCTCGCTGTAGAGGGGGGTAAACCGATCCAAACCGCCAATTGGAAAAAAACCGGTTTTTCTGGGGGCTCCTGACAATATTTCTTTTTGGTTCCCACATTCGCAGGACTCATGTTCGCATTTGTTGGGTCACGTTCGGATTCGGTGCGATTTTGGCTCGAGTGAGCTGCTATGCTCTGCCCGAGATCTCCGTGCTATGCTTTGCTTCCGACGGCACCCCACGCCCATTCTGCTAATGACTCTTGCGCATCGACCTTTTCGGCTCGTTCGGGCAAGCGAACCGCAGCCTTTCAGGCCGGGCTGGTTGCAAACATTTGCTTGAGCCACCGACCCTCAGTTCTCAACTCTTACCCTCTTGTAAACACAATATGCGTTCAAGGCTCTTCTTTTTCAGGCCCAGGAGGCGTTTTATTTTATTTTTTTCTTTAAAAACAATAACAAACAAATAAAATAAAGTGGTTTGAAGCACCAGTGGTCTCGAGCCAGTGGCTCGCCGCAACTCTCAGGCCGTCGGGGCCTGCGTGGCCCTGCGCACGGCCGCGGGGCGGCGGGGGCGGGTGAGGCGGCGAGCCGAGGCGATCTTCGGCGGGGTCTGGAAAGGCAGCTGGGCGCAGGTGCTGGAGGCCGCTGAGTCGTCTCCCCGGTGACGGTCTTCCTTTTTTTGTTGGAACCGAAAGGAAACCAACCAATGTCTCATTTTTTGTTGGCGGAACTGAGAACCGAAAGGAAACCAACCAGAAATCCTGAAAGGTGAGAACCCAGATGCTATGCGCCATGCCTCTCTCCCTTCAGCAACATGGAAGCCTCAGCTTGGCCAGGTTACACCCCTATAACTTGCAGGGGTGTATGTTGCAGAGCTCCCACGCATGTGCCTTTTGGTGGGGGGTCCCAGAGGAAGAACCAAAACCAAGTGGTTTCACAATTTCACATGTGTTCCCCCCTTTGGGTAGTTTCGCAATTCCATCTGTGTTCCACTCTTTTGGCACCGGGTCCCAGACCAAACACCAAGAGGATTTTCACAGCTTTTGAAATATGAAAACCGCGAGGTTTCGCAATTGCATCTGTGTTCCGGGCAGGTTTCATTTTTGGTTGCTGGTTTTGTAGCATTGTTTCTTGGGTGCTCGGTCAAGGACGCCGCTGCATCTCTGCGTCCGCGCCTCGGAAAAAAAGAGCGATGCTCATCAGCGGCCCCGGCGTGCGTGGCCTTCATAGGGGGCGGCTTGGTGGCGGAGGCCGGAGAAGGGAGCTGAGGGGTTCAGGTCGAAGCCCTCGTGAGGTCGAACTTTTTGCTTGATGTTTGTTTTCTAGCTTAATCCGAGCCCATTTATTTTGGTGCCGCGGGGTTGGTCTTTGGGAGACCAAGCATAGGGCTGGGATCCAACCTTGGTGTCACATTCTTTGTCCTTTTCTCGGCATCCGATACTTGTGCTTGGACATTCAACGTCTATGCCAGCGCTGATTGGAGAGGCACGGATTCGCTTCACATCCTTTGGTCTCACAGACTTCCCGGTGCTCACGAAGTCAGCGAACGAAGCATTTGGTGTCCCCCTCACCAGTTCCCTGGTTCACTTTGGGAGAACCCCCCATTCCCATCAGCCGCATAACGAAAAAGTCAAGCCAAACATAAACCCCTCAAACCCAAAAGCGCTCCCAAGAACACTCCTCGGGACTCGGGCCAACCAGTCCCCCCCCCGCCCCCCATGTCTAGGCTGGGGGCATGCCAGAAGCCGCCGACGCGCTGGCGCAGAGACTGCGTCTGCCGCAGCTGGTGGCGTGCGTGGTGGATGGTTCCATAGGCTGGTGGGCGGGGAAGAGGGGTGTGTGTGTGTGTGTGTGTTTTCTTTTTTCTCTGAAGCCCAGACACGATTTGTAGATTTCCATAAGCCAGTTTTTTTTTCATTTTCTCCGCTTTTATGTTTTTTGGATTGGAGAAACTTGGGCTGCTGGGCCCAAAAGTTTCGAAGACCAGACAACATTTGTAGATGTCCATGAGCCAGAGCTGGATGATCATGAGAATATGCTCTGGATCAAAAGGCCATTCCAAGTTCCATTCTTGATTCTGGGCAAGTGAAGCGTGACTTGGGTTTGGTGTGGAACAAGTTCAGCCAGATCAGGGAACTCAGTCGCCCAAAGCGAGCCCACCCGGGCTGATGAATTTGGGCCTTGTTCCCTTGAAAAGTGAAGGTTTTCTTAAAGGTTGCCAGTATGGGGGTTTGTTTTGTTTGTGTCAGCTGTTCGTGCCAAGCGACATGTCCAACAAGTGACTCATCCTATTTTTCCGCAGAAAGGTCGGCAGGTTTGGAGCTTCTTACGGACCCATCCTCTGGCCCAGGCCACGACCTCTCGCGCTCCAAGTCCCGGTGGCCCTTGCGTTTGTTCCACCGCTGGCTTCAAATTCTACGACAGTGGACAGAGCGAAGACCGCCGGTGCGCGAGCTGGAGTCGGACATGAGCTTGTCCTTGGCCTTCTTCAACTGCAGGGCTACTCCAGTGGTGATCTCCACTGCCGATCTGCAGGCAGAGGAGGACCTGAGCTTGAAGTCTGGGAAGTCTGGCGCCGGTTTCAAGCAAGTTGCGAGAGGTGCCCCGTTCGGCGCTGAACTCGAGAAGGCCGGGGCCGAAACAGCGCCCGCAAAGTTCCGTGCGACAAGGGGACGAGCTTGCTTTGGACGGTTTCGCACTCCCATAAACTCAAGCTGTGCTCCAAAGAAGGACCCGTTTCCTGACACGACCCAGCCTGTTTCCTGACTTTGTTTCCTAACTCGCCCCTCTCCCGAGAAGGCGCACTTCCACTGAAAGTCTTGATGTCTTTGGGGTCGCTGGGGTTGCTGCGGAGCCTTAGGACATCTCGGCCGCGGTGATTCTGGCAGATGGTCTGGAGGCCGCAGAGCTGGCAGCGGCCCGCGTGGCAGAAGCTTTCCCCCAAGCGGCCCAGGCGGAAGTCAAGCGCTTCCGGGAAAAAAATCAAACTGTATTCTCTGTTTCATGCCCTCTGTGATTTGTGCCTGCTTGCAAGGCCAGTTTGCTCGCTGAGTGTTGTTGCGCAGCTCTTGAGTAGCCCTAGTAATGCCATCGCAAGCCGTGCCAAGGTGTGGTGGCAAGTTGAGCCACGAGAAACATCCAGGAAAACGAAGCTCAGTAATTAGGCCCTTTGATACTGGGTTTGATGGCCCGAATGGCGCCCCCAAGCACGGGACTCGCCCATACGTGACCATTTGGCCGACCTTCAGTGCGTTTCATTTTAGCGGGGCGCTTTCAGCAGGAAATTCCGTTCCCTTGGCTTCTCTTTTAACGTGCCCCAGAGGGTACCAACTTGGAGCGGGTGGAGCGCGGAGCCCCGTCGCGCAACGCCTGACACTTTGGAAGGAAGGGATTCTGAACGAAGGTTCTGAGAAACTTTTGATTTCAGTTGCGACCCTTTGGTGGACATCAGAAGTTGATGCTTGGATACATGCAACTGACCATTTTTAGGACGTTCCAACTCTTCTTGGGTTTGATCATGGCAAGCTCCCAATGTTCCCGGAAAGGGGAATCCAGAAGGAGGTTCCTTTGTGCTTGGGTTTCACGTTTGGGATCAGCCCTCCAGTTTTTGCCAGATTGTAGCGTTTGTCGGATTTTGGGGACCAATGGCAAAACGCCCCGCCATGGTTTCCTGGTGTTGCCGCTGAATTTCCAAAAATCGGTGCTTCAAACAGAGGTGGGCGCAGTGGGCGCTCAGCTAGCCGGAAGGAAGGGCAGACCAACGCCCTGCCTGGCAGCCATAGGGGCCGATGGTGGCTGGCCCGCGGGGCCCTGTGGTGCAAGGGCTGCAGGAGAGAGGGGGGCGGTTTTCCGATTTTGTTTTTCGGTTTTCTGTAGCTTTCTTTTAAGAAAGCCAGGCGAAAACCATAGTGTATTTTCTTTGAGCTGGCATCGATGTTTTATCTATTTTGATTCAGGAGGGGAAACCAAGGGACAACGGCGAATGTTGGGTTTGGGGTTGTAACCCCCCTCAAAAAAGGGTTCCCCAAATTGAGAGGGGGTTTGCGTCCCAATGGGCCCACCAAGTCTACCTCAAAAAGACAACCACACCCATAACCACACGCACATGCAAGCCCACATGCACACATTCCCGCATACTTTGTTGCGGTTCTGTTTGGCGACTACTTGTTGGAGAACCAGACTGTCCGTTGTCTTGTTCTCTCATTCTTCCTTCTTTTTGTTGGTGTTGCTGCAACTGCCTTAGTTAATTAGTTGGTCAGTTAGTTAGTTAGTTAGTTAGTTAGTTAGTTAGTTAGTTAGTTAGTTAGTTAGTTAGTTAGTTAGTTAGTCAGTCAGTCAGTCAGTCAGTCAGTCAGTCAGTTTAGTTAGTTCGTTAGTTATTTAGTTTAGTTAGTTAGTTAGATTGTTGGTTTGTTTACTTGTTTGCTTGTTTGTTTGTTTTGCTTGCTTGTTTGCTTGCCTGCCTGCCTGCTCTTTTGTTTGTTTGCTTGCACGCTTGCTTGTCTGTCTGTTTGTCTGTTTGTTTGTTTGTTTGTTTGTTTGTTTGTTTGTTTGTTTGTTTGCTTGTTTGCTTGTTTGCTTGTCTGGTCGCTTGCTTGCTTGCTTCCTTGCTTCCTTGCTTGCTTCCTTGCATGCTTGCTGGTTGGTTTGTTGGTTGGTTGGTTGGTTGGTTGGGTCGGTCGGTCGGTCGGTCGGTTGGTGTGGGCCGGGTGATTGCTCTGAACTTTTCCACATTTTGCAACTGTTCAGACATCTGGCTGTGGGTCGAAACCAATGGGATCCCATTTCGGGATAGGTGCACCACCCATTTTAGTCTATTTTAGTGCGGATTGGGACACTGGGGGTACGATTTGGATTTTGACCCATGGCCATCTCATTGACTAGAGCACACTGTGTCTGGCAACTGCTTTTCTCGCCGCCAAGCGCGTGTGCGCACCGATAGGCGTGCATGCGCGAAAACCTCTGAGGCTCCGTGCGACTGGCCAAGGGCGCGGTAGCGCTTCTGCTTCGGAACGTGCGCCTGGAGGCTGGAGTGAAGAAGTGCTGTGCGGTTTATTACCACCAGCAAATTGCGGCTGTGAAGGAGACATTTGGTGATCCCTAAAACTGCAACCGGCATTTTGGGGTGCCCTATTTTAGAGTTTTAGAAGACACACTCTCACGGTGTTGAGTTTGCCAGCAGAATGCAACGTCAGAGTCTCAAGTAGGCTGTTTGGATTCGGTTGTCCCTACCCGGACGACTGGTCTCAGGCATGTTCGTGCTTTGCGAATGAACTTCCCCTGGTGTTGAGCCCTGACTAACACAACGCATCATTTTGTCGTGTGGGGTCGGGGGTTTACTTCGCAGGGATGAACACTCCTGCTGCCGGCAAAATCGCTCTGTGAGCCAGAGTCAAAAGGCGATTTGGTTCAGCAAATCGCAAACACAGCACTTGAACTTGGGCAAACAAATTGGGAAGCATTGGGACACACACACACACACTTGCAAGGCAAAAAAGCGAAGCAAACGTCGCACCCAAAAACCGCAAAAGAGGAGTTTCGGTATCAAGAAAGTCTAGACATCTAATGCACCATCCTTCTTGAGGACCGCCATCAGTGCATTGACTACTCCATTCTGGATCATCCAAGGTGGCGGCGGCCGACGACCCATGACAACAGAGCCTTCTAGAGACCAGGGGTTGAACATGCACACACACACACACACACACACCCACGCAGCGCCAGTGAGGGCCTACTTTTGGGGTGGCTTGAAATGGGTGTGGCTCAAAATTAAACAGGAGGGGTTATGCAGGTTTTGGTCCATGTTTCCACTTACCAGGGTTCCATTTTGGCACCGGTTTGTGAGCCACAGCCAAATGGTGGTTCCGCCCGAGTTTCAGTTGGATGCCCGAGCCTTCGCACGTTGCAGGCCATCTCTTGCGGCGGGATGCGAGGACTTGGGCCCGAGCTCAACGTGACGGATCTCTCCAAGCGCGACACCGTGGAGCGGTTTGGGGACCCGGCCTGGCCGACCATCATGAAGGCAGGGAAGATTGGATGCCCCAAATTCTGAGCTGCGCTGTTCTTTTTCGTGGGAGGGGTTGGCTCCAAAAAAAGGGTGCATGCGGTAGGCCCAGACCCTAAACCCCACTATCCCCGAAGAGGTTTGTTGCGGCTCACACCCACCTCCTTTTGAGGACCTCCTTTCTGGTTCCTTCCTTTAGTTCGGCAAGATAGTGTGGATAGGCGACATCCACTTGGCCCAAAAACATTGAAGGAACTATTTGTTTTTTCTCTCCAAACCTCCAGAGTGAAATGGCCATGGGGCATGACCTATGGTTCCATTTTGGGGTGGATGAACGTCCATTTGCCACCTATTTTGATCTTCACCAGGGGTACCATTGGTTTTGACCCACAGCCAAATATTGGCTTGGGCTCCCCCCCGCGTTTTTTTTTGGGTTGGATTCTCCGAGCGAAGTTCTGCGGAGCAGGTCTTCCAGCAGGCGTCTCTGGAGGAGCAGCTGCTTCTCCGCTCGCACTCCCTGGTCGCGGCTTGCCTCACGGAATTGCCGTGGGTCAACACCAATGAGATCCTGTTTTGGGGTTTTCGGTGCACCACCCATTTTGGAACCTGTTTTAGTGGGGATTGGGATGTTCACTGCGGGTACGGGGTTTTGACCCATAGCCAAAGTGGGCGAGTTCCTGGGTGTTCGCTGTGTTTTTGATAGCGGGTGCCGCGCGTCGTTGCACCTGGCGTCTTTGAAGAATCCTTTTCCAGAACAGGCCGGAAAAGCAGGGGCGCGAGTCTTTGGAGTCAAGGAATGTTGGGTGAAAATAAAGGAACATCAACCTTCAGAGATGTCCAATCACGTGAACCACACCCTGGGGAGTGACCCAATGCCTAACACAAGCAGTTTTTATCCGGACACGGAACATGGAGGCATCGCCCACTGGGTGCCATCCCATTTTTTGAGATCCGTGGCATCCACAGCCAGTGCCTTCCGAGGTTAGCGTACGCAACCCTGGAGAGCAACAATGCCAAATCCGCCGGCTGAAGCATGAGCCGAAGGAAAGCGCAGTGATCATTCCAGGCACCGATCTCCGCGTGGGCTCCAAGATTCAACTTCTGGTGAGAATCTGGGCTTATTTGGGCCAGCGCAAAACGTAGTGCGCACGCACGTATCGACGTGTGTGGATTTTGCTGAAACGATCCGTGAACTTCATATTAACCCTATTTCGTATTTCAGCTGTCCCATTTTCTTGGGCTTCACATGATGAACCGCTAGGCCCCCCTATCAACACCCAGGGTTTCGTGAGGCGACGCCACGGAGACATTTTCGGAGGAGGAGCCACAAATTGGGGCAGCAAAGACAGCAGAGTGGCGTTAGGCGCAGCTTGGTCTTTGGTCGTTGGGGATGAATTGACGAGCTAGTCCATTGGTTCTGGCTTTGCGCGCGCCCAGCTGCTGTTGAACGGTAGCAGTGGGTCGAAGGCTGAGCAGGCAGTCGGCTTGGTTGTGTTGCTGCCCTTGGTGGTGGCAACATGCACAGCGATGGTGTCAAGATCAATGTGGCGTTGGCACCAAATTTCTGGCCGCTGCCGTGCGTATTTCACTGCCGTGGGCCACGCGTCGGAGTCGCCAGCTGTTCCGCGGCTCATGCGTGAAGAAGACGAGCGTCACCTCGCCTTCGATTCTCAGTGGGTGAGACGCCGTGTGAGCGGCTGAGGGGGAAGGGGAAGACCGGCACCAGCGGTTGTGCTGCTGGTTCGGGGCGCCGAGTGGCCGACACATTCATCATGCGCGGCGACATGCCGAAGTTCACGTGCGGCCAGGAGTGTTGGCCGAAGAAGATCGAAGCTGCAGAGAGCGCGGATGGAATGGCGAAAACGTGGCAGGGTCACGGTTTTGCGGGGTGAAAGTGAAAGCCAAAGGCACGAGTGCAATTTGCTGCAGGAAGGATTGGAACAGGCAAAAGAGCTGTTGTTCGGCCATGATGCCGGCGAGGGAGGGGAGTGGCAAGCTCCTAACCATGAGACAGGATAAACATACTTGCATGTGCGCATCGCGCAAGCTTTTCCCAAGCGCCAGCAGCAACTTTGGCGCCTGACAATGTTGGTTTCAAGAACACCGCTCAAATAAATGCACCAAAATAGCCCCCTTGGTAAATGGAACCGCAGACTAAACCTGCGTAACCCTAGCTCCTTAGTTTTGAGCCGCAGCCAGCTGAAAACGCCACCCCGACCGGCCCAGCATGGGCCGTCTCCACGTTCCTTTGCGTGTCCGCGCCGAGGACATCAAGGCGTGGCCGAGGAAGACCTGCGGCTCCTTTGCAACTGGCTCCGAGCGCAAGAGGTTTCTCATGGACAACTTCTGGGAACCCAAAAGCGTTGCCCATTTGTGGGACGGCTATTTTGAAAGCTTAGAAAACTGAAGGATGCCATTTTGGGAGTCACTTGAGTTGAGGCTGCAGTTTGCTCTCAAGTTGCCCAATGCGCAAACCTGCCCATGTTTCCGCGCTGGTTTTTTTGACTCCGATCCTTTCCCAGCTCAGGACCATGCTGCAGGATCGCCTGGCTCTTGAGCGCACCGTGTCGCCGGCGCCCCTGCTGGGTTGCTTGGTCCTTGCAGACCGCGCGCGAGGTGGGGGAGGTGGAGGGGCTTGGTGGTTTTGTTTGTTGTTTCATTCGCACGTTCGTTCCTTGAACCGTTCTGTTTATTTGTGCGTTCCCACATTCGTTTGCTTGTGATGGACATTGAGCGTTTGGCTGGGACGTTGCGTGATCACTATGCTGGAATGCCGTGCTTGTCTCTTGCACATTCTACTTTGTCAGCAAACAATACGCTTGCCCTGAGCATTTGGTTTCGTCTCGAAATGGGCAATCCCTCCGAGCGAGAGGTTCGCCCTTGTTCAGAGCTGCAAAAGAAGCAAGATTGCTTGAGCGGGAAACTCAAAAATAACCTCGACTCCACAGAAGACCAACTTCAAAAAAGAGCCTTTCAAGCTTACCAAGCAAAAACACAGGAACCTTTTCAGCCGCAAAATCCTAAACAACCAGCGCCGCGCCTCTTTGCGACGGGACGCCGCAGGCCAGGCGCTCTTCGGCCGCGAGGCCGACGGCCCCGTGGCCGCGGCCTCGGGCGCCGCGGTCTGCGGCTGCTTCTGCCGGGGCCAGCTGGCGGTGCCCAGCGGGGTGCGGCCGCGGTCCCAGCGCCTCAGCGCGGTCTTCGGGTTCTTCTTCGAGGCGACGCGGGCGGCGAAAAAGCTCGGGGAAGGGGTTTTAGTGTTGGGTTAAGTGGGATCCCACCGAAGTCGATTCTCACCTGGTCAGGTGCGACCGAGTTGTTTTTCAAATCTAGAGGAAGCAAACACTTTCCCTGATCAAAGGAAGTTTAACAAGAAACTTCCGTAGTACTGGAACTAAATGAGCTAGCTGCTTTGACATATAGCTATGACAGGTAGCTAGCATGACAAATAGATAGCTTTGACATATAGCTAGCTTGACAGATAGAAAGCTTTCCAATAGGCCAGCATGACAGATAGATAGCTTTGACATATAGCCAGCTTAACACATAGATAGCTTTCCAAAGACTAGCATGACAGATAGATAGCTTTGACATATAACCAGCTTGACAGATAGATAGCTTTAAGATACATGGATGTGCGCGAAAAAAGCTACGAGAAAAGCTGAAATCAGGAGAGCTGGGGGATAGCAAGTTGCAGAAACGTTGGTGCCATGCGTGAATTGGGCTTCCGGACAGTGCGCAAACCACCTCGGTCGCGACGCCTGTACGGAGGCGGTCTCGGAACGGTCCCGGAACGGTCTCGGAACGGTCTCGGAACGGTCTCGGAGACGGGACCATTGGCACGGCCGCGCGAAGGTTTCGCTAGGTTTGAATTGCGTGGCAGGTGCAGCACTTTCGCAAGGTCAAGTATAGATTTCGTGGCAGGCGCAGCACTTTCGCGAGGTCGAGTACAGATTTCGTGGCAGGCGCAGCACTTTCGCAAGGTGCTGCGTCCACTTTCTGCGAGCTGGGGGATAGCAAGTTGCAGAAACGTTGGTGCCATGCGTGAATTGGGCTTCCGGACAGTGCGCAAACCACCTCGGTCGCGACGCCTGTACGGAGGCGGTCTCGGAACGGTCCCGGAACGGTCTCGGAACGGTCTCGGAACGGTCTCGGAGACGGGACCATTGGCACGGCCGCGCGAAGGTTTCGCTAGGTTTGAATTGCGTGGCAGGTGCAGCACTTTCGCAAGGTCAAGTATAGATTTCGTGGCAGGCGCAGCACTTTCGCGAGGTCGAGTACAGATTTCGTGGCAGGCGCAGCACTTTCGCAAGGTGCTGCGTCCACTTTCTGCGAGCTGGGGGATAGCAAGTTGCAGAAACGTTGGTGCCATGCGTGAATTGGGCTTCCGGACAGTGCGCAAACCACCTCGGTCGCGACGCCTGTACGGAGGCGGTCTCGGAACGGTCCCGGAACGGTCTCGGAACGGTCTCGGAACGGTCTCGGAGACGGGACCATTGGCACGGCCGCGCGAAGGTTTCGCTAGGTTTGAATTGCGTGGCAGGTGCAGCACTTTCGCAAGGTCAAGTATAGATTTCGTGGCAGGCGCAGCACTTTCGCAAGGTCAAGTGCCAAATTCGTGGCAGGCGCAGCACTTTCGCAAGGTCAAGTACAAAATTCGTGGCAGGCGCATCACTTTCGCAAGGTCAAGTACAGAATTTGTGGCAGGTGCAGCACTTTCGCAAGGTCAAGTGCAAAATTCGTGGCACGCGCAGCACTTTCGCAAGGTCAAGTACAGATTTTGTGGCAGGCGCAGCACTTTAGCAAGGTCAAGCACAGATTTGGTGGCAGGCGCAGCATTTTTGCAAGGTCAACTTTCGCAGCCGGGGCTCGAAAATCGCAACTTTTAAGTACGAAAGTAGTACGCGAAGTCAACTTTCGCAGCTGGGGCTTGAAAATCGCAACTTTTAAGTACGAAAGTAGTGCGCAAAGTCCACTTTCGCAGCCGGGGCTTGAAAATCGCAACTTTTAAGTACGAAAGTAGTACGCAAAGTCCACTTTCGCAGCTGGGGCTCGAAAATCGCGACTTTTTAGTACGAAAGTAGTACGCGAAGTCCACTTTCGTAGCTGGGGCTCGAAAATCGCAACTTTTAACTACGAAAGTAGTACGTGAAGTCCAGTTTCGCAGCTGGGGCTCGAAAATCGCAACTTTTAAGTACGAAAGTAGTACGCGAAGTCAACTTTCGGGGATTGAACATCGCAACTTTTAAGTGCAGAGAAAGATGGGTAGATAGATAGATCAATAAACAGATATAGAGATAGCTAGAGAAATAGATAGAAAGAGATAGAGAAACAGAGATAGACAGAGATAGATAGATTTGTAGATAGATAGACAAATAACTAGCTAGATAGATAAAGAGATAGAGAGATAAATAAATAGAGAGGTAGATAGATAGATAGGAGATAGAGAGGTAGATAGATAGGTAGATCTATAGATAAATCGCAACTTTTAAGTACGAAAGTAGTACGCGAAGTCAACTTTCGCAGCTGGGGCTTGAAAATCGCAACTTTTAAGTACGAAAGTAGTGCACAAAGTCCACTTTCGCAGCCGGGGTTTGAAAATCGCAACTTTTAAGTACGAAAGTAGTACGCAAAGTCCACTTTCGCAGCTGGGGCTCGAAAATCGCGACTTTTTAGTACGAAAGTAGTACGCGAAGTCCACTTTCGTAGCTGGGGCTCGAAAATCGCAACTTTTAACTACGAAAGTAGTACGTGAAGTCCAGTTTCGCAGCTGGGGCTCGAAAATCGCAACTTTTAAGTACGAAAGTAGTACGCGAAGTCAACTTTCGGGGATTGAACATCGCAACTTTTAAGTGCAGAGAAAGATGGGTAGATAGATAGATCAATAAACAGATATAGAGATAGCTAGAGAAATAGATAGAAAGAGATAGAGAAACAGAGATAGACAGAGATAGATAGATTTGTAGATAGATAGACAAATAACTAGCTAGATAGATAAAGAGATAGAGAGATAAATAAATAGAGAGGTAGATAGATAGATAGGAGATAGAGAGGTAGATAGATAGGTAGATCTATAGATAAATCGCAACTTTTAAGTACGCGCGAAGTCAACTTTCGCAGCTGGGGCTTGAAAATCGCAACTTTTAAGTACGAAAGTAGTGAAAATCGCAACTTTTAAGTACGAAAGTAGTGCGCAAAGTCCACTTTCGCAGCCGGGGCTTGAAAATCGCAACTTTTAAGTACGAAAGTAGTACGCAAAGTCCACTTTCGCAGCTGGGGCTCGAAAATCGCGACTTTTTAGTACGAAAGTAGTACGCGAAGTCCACTTTCGTAAAATCGCAACTTTTAACTACGAAAGTAGTACGTGAAGTCGAAGTCGAAAGTAGTACGCAACTTTTCGGGGATTGAACATCGCAACTTTTAAGTGCAGAGAAAGATGGGTAGATAGATAGATCAATAAACAGATATAGAGATAGCTAGAGAGATAGATAGAAAGAGAGAGAAAGAGACAGAGAAACAGAAAGAGAAAGAGAAAGAGAGAAAGAGAGAAAGAGAGAAAGAGAGAAAAAGAGAGAGAGAGAGAGAGAGAGCAAGGGGCCAAGGACAGTTCTCCAAACTATAGTTGTTCACTGCTTTGAAACTTCCGCCCCCCGGCTCTGCCGGACCTTACTTGTATTGGAAAGTCCCCTTTGAGAGAGTTACACACACACACACACGTGGTACAGAATCTATGACCAAAGTGTTGCCCACGTGGGTCTACAGCAAGAACCGTGCACAGTGGTGCGAAATGCTGGTTGTAGGGCCGGATATCCGGGCCTTTCGGCAATTCTTATTTGTAGTTTCCCTTCTTGCCGCAAGTGGCTTGACAATCGCTAGATTGGGGAGGTTACTGGGTACCGCAAAAACCGCTGAGCGACTTTGACAACCAAGGCTTAGGATGGCAGATGGCAGAACGGAGGTGATTTTCCACGAGGATGCCCGAGCCTTCGGAGTGCTCACCTGAGCCAGCGCGATGTTCCCCACCCTCAGAACCCGGCGCGGCGGGATCTCGGTGAAGAAAGCGCCCAAGTGATCCAAATTTCTGAAGAATTAGTGCGGCAGTGTCACGGTTGGACGTGCGGAACGACAAAGCTGGGCGGCTTGAAAGTCTGAAATCTACGCCCAGCTCGCCAGACGATGGCAATCTTTTGCCTTGGGCCCATTGGATGAATCTGCAAAAAGCAGAGCCATGCTGTCGCAAGTTTGTACTTGCAAATCAATGTGGGCTGCTTCCATTCTGGCTTCATACAATCCGTCTGTTTCACAGCATGTTTGTTCAACGAGAGTCAATGCAGAGTATAGTCTCCAGTCTTGAAACAAGCGTGCCTTGTTTACATGCCAGGAGCAGTCCATTTCTTGGCTGATGTATTTGCTTACAAGCTGTGAGTTTCACGAACAAAGTTCCATTGGTAATTTATACTCGGCGTGTTTGTGGGCCCTTTTCCGTGGTGTGTGTGTGTGTGTGTGTGTTCGTGGGGTCACAAACTATGTTGCATCCTCTGAACTATCTATAAGTCATCCCGAGCTATCACGAGTTCTGTGAATTCTAGTTCAATTCAGGTAAACCAGCCCAGGGGCGCAAAATCAAGTGCGGACAAGCAACCTTTGAGCCACACGTTTTCCCTCAGACTGTAGACCACGACTTCGACATGCTCGCCATTGATGTTCTCGCCCGTGCAAGCAGCTGACCTGTCACATAACATTTGGACACACGTTGGAGTGTCTCAAAATGGTTGGAATCTCCCTATTTTTGGATGGCGGACGGCAGGGAAAGCGAACAGAAGTCCTTGCAGTGCTAGACTTGAGACAAATTCGGTCCACGGTGCTCTGATTTTTTTCGGGATCTGGCTGGAAATCGAGGGGGTCAGCGTCCATCCGCGAAAAGGAGGCCTTGCGAGTGATCGCTCGCTCTTTTTTTCTTCTTCTTTTTCTGGGGATTGTTTGAAGGGGACGCAGGGCAAGCGGGGTGTCCATGTTGAGTTGCCATACGGGCCTATTTTGGTCGAGTTGCCAGGGCGTGGCAAGGGTTCAAGCCCAAGCTCGCGGTGGTGGAATGACTCCCCGGAGGTGTGGAGAACGTCAGGGAGTCGTTTCTCCGACCAAAGAGCAATGACTCTACCCAACATCAAACCCACCAGAAGGTCGCTTCGAGTGGGGATGGTATCCGTTTTTGGTCGAACATTGAAGTGGCAGTTGGTCTAAACTCGCGCCATCCACTGGTGGTCGGTGCGATCAGTAGGGATCACGCTCAAGGGACTGTTTGTCAGCGCAGTGTTTGGTCAAGTTTGGTCACTCAAACCAGGGAATCGGGGATCGACAAGAGGCAGAAATGGGAGTCCAAGCATTGGAATTTGTATTTTTTGAGCTCTCATTGAGTTTTCCTGTGAAAGTAAGGCTTCCAGAAAACAAAACCAGAAATTGACACAGGCCGCCCGCCAACCCATGGGTTTTGAGTAGACCCCTTGTGGACGCCGGCCATTCGAGCTCGCCAGGCGTGCCCAATCTGTGCATTCCCGATCCGGGCACTGCCGTACCCTCCGTTCAAGCTGCAGGCGCCTGGGGACTTGCCAGCATCATGCCAACTGGGTCAGGGCTCCTTAAAAGATACATTTTGCCCAGGTGAACCTTGGCTTTTTCCACCAAAATACAGGGAAACCACCATTTACAAGGCAATGTTCAGGTGTATAATGTAAGGATCCCTGTGGGTGTTTCCCAACACTGGGGGTGCCGTTGGATGGTTTTCACGCAAGGGGACAACTCAGAACTCTCAACACTGAAAATCCTGTTGGATGTTTTTCACGCAAGGGGATAAGGTAGAGAAATTCCGGCAACTTGCCGCACTTGACCAGGGCTTTGTGGTTGGACGTGTTTTTTTCTGCAATAGCGAGTCCCAGCCTGGCGCGAGGGAAGCGGCTTGCAGGAAGCCGAGCAGAGTGCTATCAGACGTCTCTTCTTTTCCTTGCCATGTGAGATCAAGCTGTGGGGCGGAGCAAGAGCCTTGGCCACATGACGTGGTGCCGTCCGATCCAAACAGATCACTGGGCAAGCTGCAATCTTCAGCTGAAGGTTTCGGACTTGGGGCACTTGGACTCAAGCCACATTGGGCTTCGGCCTTAGTTGCTGCCAAGTAACTGACCCAGATTCCCAACGCAGACTCCCTCCCCCTCAAAAAAACACAAAGCAAAAAAAACAAACAAACACAAAAAAGGAGAAACAAAGAAAAAACAAAAAACAAACACTTGCCAGGCTGCTGGGATTGGAATCCCAAAGCCCCAAAGCCCCCAGTGGCCGCCCCGGCTTGGGGCGTATGGGCCCATGAGCCATGCGCTTGCTGCCGCTGGGCCTGGGCGTGTCTGTGGGCGCTTTGGGCGTGCTGCTGGCCGTGCCTCGGGTGGAAGACCCGAGATGGGCCCATTTCAGGGCCCAGGCCCCAACTTCGGTCACGAGTTGCGTTTTTTGTTTGTTTTTTCTCCGCCACTAGACAACCAGCAGAAGTAGTAGCAATGACAGATTTTATGACCAACATTTTGGCGCGGTTTTAGATTTCACCCCGCCTCCTGGACAGCGGCTCAAGTCTTGGCATGGCTCTCAATCGTACTCCCTTCCACCAAATCATGATTGTCTGGAGGACAACGGAGTTGTTTTGGCGCGGGGGGGGGGGAGCGGGCGACATGGCCGCTGATTTCATCTCCAAGAGGCACGGCGTGTCTTCCTTGTCACCGACGCAAGAGCTCAAGTCCTGGGTAAGGGACAAGTTTTAGTAGCGGTGGCCTTCGACATGGAGCCTGACGTTCGGAGGTCCCTTCAAAAGGAAGATGGTCTTAAACAGGACCCCCCCAAACTTCAGGTTCCATGTGAAAAAGATGGGAGGGCAATTCTCGAAGTTTGGACTCGCTGCCTTTGCGGCCTCGCTGTAAGGGCCACCTGCGGCGAGTCCGGCGCGCGCGCAAGCGTCTGGCGTTGCTGCTCAAGCAGCACGTGGGAGAAGAGGCCGCATGGCGCATGTTGGAGGTGAGGAAGTCTCTTTAGAATCAGTTACCCCACCTCCAGCTAACATGGAAGTGCGCAGACCCCTGTAGAAAGACTACTTTCCTCCTGGAAAGGGCCTTTTTGCACTTCTATCTTTTTTTGGTGGGAGGGTATCAGAAGAAAGGCAGTCCTTGTTAACCACGGAAATCCAGTGGCAGTCTGTAAATCGAGCGAGCTCTAAAGCAGAGAGCGATTCCACCCATGCAGGCCCATCTCAGGGTGAATGCGTTACAGCGGCGATGGTCTTGGCTGGCTGGTGGCCCAATGCCAATGCTTGTAAATATGGTGTTTTTCGTGAGGCAAGCCCGCAAAGCCGGCCGGCCAGGGTCGAGTGGTCATCACGGGCGCAGATCGTGGAATTGGGAGGGACGCTTGGTCAGCATTTTTCGCGAGCAGTGCCCAAATCCTTGCGGCCGGTTTTGGTGAAGCGCCGGACTCCTACCTGCTTTGGGGATTGTAGGTCTACCGAAAACACCAGGTTCCTAATCTTTGGGGGCCTTCCCAGAATTCAACCAAGCAGCCGAAACCTCCCAAAGATCCTTGGCTACACTGGGTTCTTGGTTCGCAAGATCCTGCCACAAACCCTTGAGGTGCCCTTTTGCTGCTATTGCACTTCTGTCCTTTTTTTTGCAGAGTTGGGTTGGCAATCCTTTTGGGGTTAGTTATGCTTCTTCTGGACCGAGGGGATTCCATTTTGCTGGCCATTTGGGGGGGTAGTCCTGTGGCTTTGCTGCTTCCACTTTCTGAGGAGCCGTCTATTTCATGCATATCACATGACGGGAGCGAAGGGAATGGGATGAGATGTGGAGAAAAGAGGCTTGACAGTGGACGGAGTAAGTGAATGGAGGTGAACGAACGAGGGAAGCAAGCCACCTTTGCACCCATCCCCTCCCCACTCCTCGCTTCCACCCTGTTCACGAGCGGAGCGGGCCCGTCCCGGACGGAGAGGAGGGTAAGGGAAAGGGAGCGAGGGAAGAGGGAAGTGGGTAAGCCTCCATTCAATATCCTTTCATTCGCATTCCTAAGGCTTACCCATTCACTCGTTCATTGTCTTTCTCCTGTCCATGCAATCTCCTTCCCAAGCGAGCGAAGAGACGAGTGAGAGAGAAGGAAGGAAGGAGATGCATGAGGAGAAAAGAGGCAAGGCATTTCACCTATCTATCTATTCATCTGGAAATGCCTTGAGTGAAGGGAGGCATATTTTATTATCAGGTCTCGCCTCCATTCCCCACATCTTTCCTCTCCATCATTGCCTCTCCCTTTCTGAGCTATTAATCTGTGGACGAAAGAATGAGTTGGGAGAGGCATTATGAAGGAAACAGGCTTGTCTATCACTCATCGAAGGCAACCACCCATTTTGCGGATTTGTGTGTGTTGCTTTGTGCAGGCTGCTACCCAACTTGGGCTGGATTGACAGGGCCGCCAAAAGGGCAACTTGCCTCTTTTAGGATTTGTGTGTTTTTTTCAAGTTGTTACACTATTTGGGTTGGTTGGAAAGGGACACCAAGAGGCAACCGTCCATCATAGAGGTTGCCTGGCTTAAACTTTCACATCCCGGGATTTGTTGAACTTCCCCTTCTTGAGTCATCAAAGCCTTCTACCCAAAACCCATGAGAAGCATCACAAGGGCTTCATCAACCGTCCTTAAAGAGAACATGGGTGAGGGGTTCTCGTTGCTTTTGGGGTTCTTTTCCCTTCAAACCGACCATGGAGGGTATTTTCACGACGGCTCCGAGGAGCTCGCCTGCTTGCTCTTGATGAACCGAAGGCTATCGGTGCTGCTGGGCTGCGTCTATGAGCCCACGTCGCTGGCCGTGCCACCCGGCTCTCGCGCCTTGACGTCGGTTTATCACTGCTCTGTGCGTAGATTTGTTCGTGTCGTTTTTGTTCTTCGGCCCTTGGGGAGCCGACAACAGAGCCCCTTTTTGAAATCGGGTGATGGTCAAGGGGACACCTTTTGAAGGGGAGATCCAAAAGCTACCACTCTTGACAACCTCCCTATTTGTTTTGAGATCGTACACGTTTTGTTAGCGGTTGTAAAGGGAATGCAAAGCGAAGCCAAAGGGGTGTGTCATTTTTAGAGTCTAATGCACTGAGGGCTTGATCGGCTTGAGAATGTGCGGTTTCCTATCTGAAAATGAGTCAGATGGCGCAAACTCGATGTTGTTCTTGGTTGAAACATCACCTTTTGGTTGCAACGTGGAATTGAGTTTCTCTGTGTGGGGTGATGTTTGCAGGATGGGTTTGACTCAAAACGATGGACCCCTAGAATGGTTGACTTTCCGTCGATGTCCTTTGCAACCAACCAACGCTCCCTGGCACCAACAAGCAAGCAGACCCACATCAGGAGCTGAACACTACTGGCAGTCCATTGGTTTGGCTTGGAGGGCGAGAAAGGCGGCGAAACCAAGCTTCCCACAGACTAGACGCTCCTGAAGACAGGCCCCCAATCTTAACCAAAAACATCACAGTTTGGCTGCAATCACTCCCCCTACCATGGCTCTGAATAATTTTTCTGATGATTTGCGGATCTGGAGAAAGTAAGGGCCAAAATTTACTTCCCCAACCCAACCCTAAGAATTATGTGTTGGGCTTAGAGGAACCTATAACTTGCTGGTGCTCAGCAGGGAATGAGTTGGAATGACCCTAGAGAAACCATCCCTCGTTTCCTTTAACGCTCATTCCCACATTCCCTACCTATCGCACCGATCGCAAGATTCTCCTAAGCTCAACTGATTCAGATAGAGCCATTGCAACCAAGTAATGCCTGGCGACGATTGACCCGCGGAGGTTCGGTTTTTAGGGCCAACACCCTCTGATTCTTCCTCCCCAACCCGAGCCTAAGAATCCGTGTTGGGCTTAGAGGAACCTATAACTTGCTGGTGCTCAGCAGGGACTGAGTTGGAATGAGGTTCGGTAAGGCCTAAGAATCACGTGTTGGGAGAGGAACCAAGAATGAGCCTTCCGGGTTTGGTGACCAAGAATGAGCCTTCTGGGTAACCCTCTGATTCTTTCCCGATCTGACCCCAAGAATCATGCCCCCCATTTTTTTGAGTCGAATTTTCCAGGAGCCATGCGGCTGGAGCTCTTGGACTTCGACTCGGTGCAGCGCTTCGCGGCGGGGGGGGAGACGGTCTTCGCTGGGTTTTTTTGGGCTCTCGCGGTGGCTCCAAGGCCCAGGTCTGGGAAGAGGGGATGCAGTGCTTCAGGCAGATTTGGGCCACTGTCGCTTTTTGTATTTTCGGCATAGGGGTTGGGGGTGGACTGATGAGGGGCATACGGAAACCCAGAGGTGCCTCCTTGTAGCCTTTTCAGGGATTCGAATCCTCTTGCAAAGTCCTAGTGATGCTTTTTGGGCAGACAAGGGATCTGAAGCCCCCTCTTAAAGTGCCAGTGTTTTGGACTCTGGCGGCCAAGCAAATCTGGTGTCCGGGTTAGGAGGAGGCTCACAGCTTCCTTGCGGACGGCAAGCCGGGCTTGCGCATGCTGGTGAACAACGCGGGCTTCAAGGACTTGCTGCTTGTCCTCCCCCTCGCCCCCCCGGAAGCCAAGGGCAACAAGGGGTTGGGCGAGCAAGGCGTTGGGCAAAAAGGCACGGGACCGGTGGGTATGCTTCCTCCGTTTCAAAGGTCGGAGGGTGTTAAGCCTTGGTAGATGCAAGCACAGAACCGCCTTGAACCAGAAGGCTTGGCCTAGGATTCCCGAAGCCCAAGGGCTTCAGTCAACGGCCCAGGGTGCCAAGCCACAAACGGGGCGTGCCCAGGCTTTTCGCTGTTAGGGTGGGTTTCCACTTAGAGACTTCTCCGAACGAGACTGGGCGACCTTCGACAGGGTTCCCATGTTATTTGCCCATGTTGGGTTTATGTCCAGAACATGGAATCCCTCCCAAAAGAGAAGCCTGAAATTCACTCCGTTTGGAGGAACGGCCCTGTTTGGAGTTCCACCCAGGAGGAGTTCAGGACTTGCACCAAGTACGGTCGCCGCCTCAGCGAGCCGGGCTCAAAACCTGTTTGAAGGCCCTGGCGAAATTGGCGGCTGGGGGAAACCGCGGTGAATGACTGGGTGAGGATTCAACCTGGGAGAAATTTGTGGATTGCGTACGAGGGCTGTGCCGCAAAGACCCTTCATTGTGGTTGGAAAGGGACCGCGATAAATCCTTGTAATGGGCGACATGGACTTGGGATGGGATTGTCGGGGTTTCTCATCCCTGGGAGCCTTTGACATACGGTTCCTCGTCGTCCAAGTATCCCCCCAAAGACAACATGGACGAATCCATTGTTTGACCATGTCGAACTGCTCAAGCTCTTCCTGTTGGTATTCCTGAAAAAACACAGACCCGAAACAACGCAAGCCGAGTCATTCGCAACCAAAAAGGCAGCGACATGGAGCGAGACGAACCCAGGTGTTAGGAGATGTGCCAGGAGATACATGGCCACTTGCCTGATCCTTTCTGATCAACATGCCGAAAGTGATGGGGTTAGTCTAAAATGGGTTGCACCCCTTCATGAGGATTTCTTGGTGAATCAAAGCCATCCAAGCGGGCCAAAGCGACTTGAGGCTCTGATGATAGCACCTCAGGGTAAAACAAAATGGGGATGGGTCAAGATTAAACCACCAGGATATGGACCGCAGGTTTTTAGTCCATGTTTCCGTTTACCAGGGCAACCCATTTTGGGGTTACCCAATCTTTCGACCCACACCTACATGGTCCAATTGAAAGATCCTCAATGCTTCGGAACCGACTTTGCCATCGAACGTGAAACCCTGCCGTTTCGGGAGCCAACCCAAACGGACATGGCCAGAGGTTGATGTCCACAACAAATTTCTGGGGTCTCAGAGCACACACCCTGAGAATTGCTGATACGGTAAGCCCCAGGAAGGCACCATTTGAAGGCAACCTCCAAGGGTCTGGCACCTTCACACCCTGGGATGGCGGTTTTCCAGACAAGTCACCCTGGCCGATCTTCCAGAAGATCCCCCCAATCGAGCGAGAGCATCGGGTTGGATCAAAAAGCGTCCAGAGGAAAACGCGTGGATCGAGGCACCGGCCGCACCTGGCAGATCAACTTCCTGGGGCCTTTTCTGCTCACGGAGATCTTGGCCCGGCGTAGGGAGCGGGACGCCTGACGCGGGGAAGTCCAATTTGTCGTCAGAAAGGCCAACTCAGGCAACCCGGCCTTCTAGCTGGGTGTGTCTCCCAAGATCAAGCTAAGGCAACTTACTTGGCAACGGACTTGATTGGTCAGGCCAACCTTCGACGAAGCCTTTGGCCTCATTTGGTCTTAAGACGTAACCCCTAACTCTTGGGTGCGACTTTCGGGTTTGGGGCCCTGGAAACGGGGATGCAAATCGTGAACGACTTCTGGGAAGGCATGTAGAGATGGTCAGTGGCATGTGGGTCTCTCGTTCTTTTCTTTTTTTTGCTCTGACGAAAGGCCGTGTCACCAGAAACACACCCGAATCCAACATCTTGCGATGTTACTTTTTGAAGGGCAGCCTGAAGGAAACTCCCAGTTCCGAGTGTTGCCCCCTCTAATTTATGTGCCCTCGGAGGGGCTTGTCCTTCTTTTCTTTCTTCCAGTTGTTTTTTGGATTTCTATTTTTATTTTTATAGATCCGTGCTTGGACGGGTTTCCGTGCCCAGGACAGCATCGAGCTGCCCTGCAGCGTGATCAACGTGGCCAGCGGCCACGAGTCGGAGTCCAACTTGGACCAGGAGCTCCTCGCGGCGCTGAAAGGCGGCAGATCCGTGGATCGAGCGGGCGGTCCCCTGAAGCTTCGACGTCCGGTGAGTTCGTGGGACTTGAAGCATAGTTTTTTGGACTTTTTGTTTTTTTTGGGGGGCCATTTTGGTTTTTGGTTTTTTTGGGAAGACCATTTTGGGAAGACCATTTTGGTGGTAAATAGAAAGTTCAGTCCTTTTTTGGCCAACCCACTCAGGAAGTGAGCTAGTAAAATTGGGCCTTGCTAGGAACATAGCCCGGAAGAGGACACGTTTTGAATTTACCCCTGTTTTTCTTGGCTTCCTTTGGTTAAATCGGATTCTCGAAAGTGCGCAAAATGAGCAGTCGGATGTGGTTTTGCTCCCCGCAGTGCCTTTGCATTTTCGCAAGCAATGTTCCGCTCCCCAGCTGCTCCGGTGAAACGGCGCTCCTCAAATTTGGGGTTCTTGGTCGAAGGAGGAAACTGAAATATGATCCTGGCCTGCCACATTTTGACGGATGGAAAGGCTCTTTGAACACAGCCGGTCCCGTTTCCAGTTGGCTGCGAAGCTACTGGCCACGACTATGCGGACTCCAAGCGACTTGGCTGAACTTCAACCGTTCTCATTGCAAGAAACGCGGAGGAAGAGGTTGCACAGGACGTCCACCCCACTTCGCCAACAAAAAATGAAGACCTACGGGGTAGAGCAGTTAAAGCAATTTGAGTTTGTCTAGCTGCCTTTGGAGGGTTTGGGTTGCATTTTGGGGGACAGAAACGAGGGCAGCTTGCCGGCGACTTCGCACACGATCAGCAATTCCTTTAGGGCAATGTCGCAGCGTTGTGGATCTGGGCAAATGACATCACGACCTCACACAGGTTTTTTTGTTTGCGACCGATTTTCCCATAATGATTCATGTCTTGAGGGGTCCGTGTCTCATTTGAGAAGCGGTCAATATTTGACGTCATGAACCGGGAGAAGTTAATCGAAGGTTTTGATGAGGCCTTATTTGCGGCCTATTTGGGCTCCCTCCCCCTCCCCTCCCTCCCCCCAGCCCCCATGGTGGGTATTTGGTCCCTGCAGCCAGGAGGGCCTTGCTGCTGTGGACCTCTGTCCGCTCGCAGAGTTTGGCGCTGAAGGGATGCCCCGGCCGGCATTTGGCAGTGCTTTTACCGGCTCGGGGGGTAAAAGTCAAGGTCCTTGCACATGACTCACAAACAAAGCCTGCACCCAAACCAAGGCAAAGAACTCAAAGGTCAACAAACAACTGACTAAAGGTTTCCGGTTTTGAAAGTTTGTCCCCCCAAATTCGGGAGACCGACTCGAAAACAGGCGGTTGCCTTCTGGTTTCTCCTTACCATTCCCAAGAAGGGTACCCTTGAAAAGGACAGCCGTGTGCTGGTTTGGAGCCAAAAGGTGGGGGCAGATTGAGACTTGTGCCATGAGATAGTTCTGCATTGAAGTCACATGTTTTCATCACACACATGTATTTGGGTGTCTTCTTTGAGGGTGCCCCATTCGGATGGTTTTAGAAGGGAAACTAGAAGCCATTTGGAGATGCCCAATTGTTGCTCTCCCTCTCCTTCTGAGGACACCTGTATGTTCACGCGGTCTCGCCCGGCAAAGTGGACACCAGGCCTGGTGGTTCTTCAGTGGGTTTGTCTCTGGGAACTACCCCCAACACGGGAGGCGTCCCTTAAGATAGTTTTCCTTGCGGTAGCATCAAACATGGCAAGCCCGTTTGAGTGAAATTCAACATGGGACTTGCTTCTTGACCCTTTCGCGAACTGAAAGAGCCCCTTTCATTTTGAATGCCCGTCAGACAAACTAGGGGACACATTCCGACCTGCAGGTTTGGCTGTGACGACATTCCGACATGGCCCCTCGGCGCACCAGCGTACGACATGATGCATGGTGCATCATGGCGCTTTTGAAATCGGCGTGAGACACAGGGTGATCAGGGTGCGCCCTTCTGTCCACAACAACAGCACCTGTGGAAGGGACCCCTGTCTGGTGCCATGGTGTTGGGCGGGTACTGATTGGGGCAGAGATAGCTGAGATAGTACTATGTGTCTGGTATCAGGGCAGAGTCTGGAGGTTATATCTGAGTCAGGATTCTTTTTGGATGACCCCAAGGATTAAAACTCGGTTCCCTTTTCGGGAAATTCAACCACCCCCAGGTGTTGTCGTCTAGCTTGAGGTAATCAAGCAACGCAGCCTCTTGCCTCGACAAATTTGCAGCTAAGGCGGTGGGCGTTGTCCAAGCCAGCACGGATGCTTATGTATCGGCCAGTGGCTGAGGCAGGGGGGTGGGGTCCCTTGCGAGTGATTGAGCAGGGGGTTTGTCGCTTTTTGGGCACCCTTTTCGGTGTAGGTTTTCACGGGGGAAATCATGGGCTTGTATTGTGAGGCATTGAATCTGAAGACCTGTCGGGGACTTGACCTTTGGTCTGCTCGCCGAACGGACACGTAAACAGTTTGTTGCAAGGTCTTACCACCAATGGACCAAAAACCAAGTGTACCAGAGGGTCTTTGGACGCCTGTTCAGGGTTAAATTCACCATCCTTTTCACCCATCCGCTTCACACCCAACCCCCCCCCCCCCCCCATTTCCCCAAATTTCGCTTCCGAGTCTTTGGAAGTGGCTACACCGAATCGGGTTCGTTTGACCTTCTGCCCGCCTCTCACAAGGGCGCCTTATCCATCGCGGCCGCTGGGCTTCGTACTCATGCCATCAGCAGCGGAGCTGCAAATGGCTCGAAATGGGATTTGGGCCATGAATTTGGTCTGGTTTCCTGTGCTCTTTTTCCGTTCGCCGCATCCACATGACTCTTAGCATGACCCTGACATTGGGCCTGATGCTTCTGGTGTTGGATCAGATCTGACTCATTTTCGAAGCATGTCGCCTGCCGATTCTGATACTAGTACTCTTCACCCGTTCTGGAAGCTGAACGAAGGGTTGTGGAAGACCACTTTCAGGGAAGCTCACTGTCCACTTCCATGAGTGTTGAGTGCCGGTCTCAGAAGGCCAGCAATGTTTGGATCGGATGGATGACCAACTCTCAGGTACCCCAGCTTAAATCTGATGCTTGCCGGGTTCCGTTTGTGAAGGGTGGGCTAAGGTTGGGGTTTTGGGCCCCTCCTGGGAGACTCGGCCCAGCATCCCAAGGCAAGTTTGGCCAATACTTCCGTGGAGAAGAGTTGTGCCTCGCCGGCATTTGAGAGTCGCAGCTGCGCGGTGGATGGTTCGGCTTCGGTTGCCGGAAGGGCCGCACACATCGCCCTTTAGATCCGTTTCTGGGAGTCTTGGGAAGACTCTTGAAAATGACTCAGCCAGGTTTTGATCCTGACTCAGCCGAGCTGACAGAGTGTCACGACCAAAGGCAGTGATTCAAAGATGGGATGGCCTCATGCGGGAACCCCAAACCGAGCTGTCGCTTTTTCATTCCCTGTGCCAAACAGGGTAGCCTCAAATTAACGATGGACTGCTTGGTCCGGCATCTATATAATGGGATTGCGGAATCCGTCAAGCCGCAGCTCATACATCTGTGGTTTTTGAGACAAGCCCTTTTCGGGCTTGTGTAAATGGTGGAAACCAAAGGAAACCTAATGAAATGTTTATGTCCCATAGCCTGAGAGAAGTGTTCCAGGTTTTCACCACTTCCGTGCGGCACTTATTGGGGATGCCAACAACGGTGGTTGTCCTTTTGATTTCCATTTAAACCAACCTCTTGAAGAGGGCATTTTCACAAGCTCAAGTGGCCGCACTCGTCTCGAGTTGGTGGTCACCATGCTCTGAGGGTAGAGGATCTGGTCATCTGGCGGATGCCTCGCACTCAGACTTGGCTGGCTTCCCAAAGAGAGTGTGTCGGTGTATCGATGTATCGGTGCGGGGCGGATGTCCCGTCCCTGTTTGCGGTCGCTCTGTCACAGCCATGGTATCGCAGTATCTACCATTTGCTTGGAAAACGAGGGCATGATTCCGTTTGGTCTGGTCGGTTGCCAACATAAGCCAGAAAGCAGAGAAAAGGACATGGACCTTTAGAGGCGCCTCTGTTTCGTATTTGATTGATGGTTTAGGTGCCGTTAAAAAAGGGCACACCCATTTTGCACCCGTACAAACACTTGGATAAAGGATCACACGCAACAAATCCCAAAAGGTCACAAGTTATTTTCCCTGTTGAATTGTGGATTCCCCTCAAAGATGGCTGACATACCTATTGTCTCTCTCTCTCTCTCTCTCTCTCCCTCTCTCTATCTCCCCCCCTCTCTCTCTCTCTCTCCCTCTCTCTATCTCCCCCCCTCTCTCTCTCTCTATATATGTATATATATATGTATATATGTATGTATGTAATGTAATGTAATGTAATGTAATGTAATGTACTGCAATGTAATGTAATGTAATGTAATGTAATGTATGTAATGTAATGTAATGTAATGTAATGTAATGTAATGTAATGTATTGTAATGTAATGTAATGTAATGTAATGTAATGCAATGTAATGTATGTATGTATGTATGTATGTATGTAATGTATGTAATGTATGTAATGTATGCAATGTATGTATGTATGTATGGTATGGTATGGTATGGTATGGTATGGTATGGTATGGTATGGTATGGTATGGTATGGTATGGTATGGTATGGTATGGTATGGTATGGTATGTATGTATGTATTAATGTAATGTAATGTAATGTAATGTAATGTAATGTATGTAATGTATGTAATGTATGTAATGTATGTAATGTATGTAATGTATGTAATGTATGTAATGTATGTATGTATGTATGTATGTATGTATGTAATGTATGATTGTAATGTATGTATGTAATGTAATGTAATGTAATGTAATGTAATGTAATGTATGTATGCAATGTAATGTAGGTAGGTAGGTAGGTAGGTAGGTATGTATGTATGTATGTATGTAATGT